TGCTTGTGGTTGTGCTTGTGGTTGTGGTTGTGCTTGTGGTTGTGGTTGTGGTTGTCATTATCATTATAATCATTATCATTCTCATTATTATTATTATTATTATTGTCATTACTAACTATTATTCTCGTTGTCGTCCTCGTCGTTTGGACATGTGATCTACGAACTTGGAAAGCCCAAGGCGCCCAGGCTGCCTCTCCGCCCCTCGCGTCGCACTTCACAAGCGGCAAGGCCACGCGGAAGGCATGCTTCAGCAAGGACTCGCCATCTGTCACGCTTCCGGACTTTAGGCTCTTCGCTGAGCAAGCTAGCATGTGACGTGTTCCTAGGTATCAAAGGTTATGAGAGCCTCCGTCGACATTGTGGCAGCTGAGTAGGGCCGTGCAGCTGGAGGCTCCCCCGATGAAGAGTGCCGTCAGCAACTTCAGGGCCGAGCTGACGCCTGAGTGACTGCAGCTCGAGTGCTTGTGGAGCTGAGCTGCTGCCCCATCCGGGCTCCGTGCCGGCTCCATGCCGCACCGCCTCCAAAGGCATGCACAGTGCCAGCAGCAGCAGCGGGATGCAGGGCGAAGCCAAAGCGCTGAAGGTCTGGGCGCTCCTGCAGAAGTAACGCGTCTGCAGAGTGCTTGAGGGCTTCGTAGTAAAGGGAGGCTAGCACTTTCATGCAGGCTCAACCGTGGGCCGCAGTAAGTAGGCGGCGGAATCACAGCTTCAGCACAGGGCGTCCTGCCGTACGCACACTCCAAGCTCATGGCATCGCGGAGGCCCTTTGCTGTCATCTGCAGCCACTGCACATATTCCTCGCAGGGAGCACTGCAGGAGCTCATGCATAGCAGGACGGCAGGCCCTGCATAGGATGGCATCGGTCGGCATCCTGACGCAAATCCGACGGCCCGGTCCTCCTCCCAAAGACCTCCACTACCTCCAGAGCCTCCACCACCTCCTTGGTCCCTGCGCGTGGACAGGGCCACCAGCCTCACTGAGCTTGAAGTCATGGGGTGTAGCCCAATTCAAGGGTTCAAACATCATGTTTGCATCGAAGGACTCTTTTCAACACAGATACAGTATCCTTGAGGAACGATCCCCACGATGTGGCCAAGCAGCACGCCCCACAGCTGGAACAGCTGGAGCAGCACAGGGCCCTGGGCAAGAAGCAACGGCTGCAAGACCTTGGCAAACTTGCGGCGGAACTCCCCTAGGCCCTATACGCTTCAAGCATCTTGCTGCGTGCTGTTTTACCTATAATTGTAAAGCTTGATGCGGCTGCAGGCGAGTCACGCTCTGCGGCACGGGCGCTGCGTCCGCCGGCCCTGAATCCGCAGCACGGCTCCTGCCGCATGACACCAGCCGTGCTGGCTGAGGCTCTCTTAGAAACCAAATCTGGTAAACTACTGCAAGCGGCTCATGCAACTCCTCCAGAAGTAGATGCCACCTGCCACCACCGCTACCACTGCAGCCGTTATGGCGACGCCGGCTGCGGTCCCACGCGTGTCGGAAGTCGCATCACACTTGATGCACTGGCGGGAGCGGCTGCGGTAGCCCTCCGAGCAGGCGATGCAGAGAGGCCCTTCGTAGCCTTGAGCAGGGCAGGAGGCGACTTTCAGAATCTTACCGCCCTGACTAAATGATTCCTAAGAAGCCCCTCTATAGCGTCTGCCGGGCCACCGGCCGTGCAGCCCAGGTCAGGGCTCCCTGAAGCATTGCACCGCTCCTCAGCCGGATCCAAGCACCTGCAGAGTGCGAGGGGATGACCTGTGAATCCAAGCACCAACTGGGAATGAAAGACGCGTACACGCGTGGGTATAAGGGATACAGTTCGGCTGCACTCACCTTGCGAACTCAGCACTGTTGCAGGTGAGTACATGCTGCACCTTCAGAAACAGTGAGGCCCGCGAACATCGATTCAGCACTCTGATCCCTGCGGAACCTGAAAACCACGGAAGCCTGACGGACCAGCCGCGCGTAGCCCACCTCGTTCGTTCTCTTATGGTCTCGGTTAATTCCTCCGTATTCATGGCTCTTGTTTCTGGCATTATATAGGTCATCCTCCATCTTCATGCACCCTTGAATCCCTCGGGCTGCGGCTATGCCGGGTAATGCAAAATGCGTGTATGCAGCTCCCCACTCATCACAATGCAGAATATCTCGGAAGTCTAGAAGTTGTAAGAATCCTCTGCTCCCCAACCCAACCTTAGGCTTCGCCGTCTCCACGGTGCTTCCGACAGGGCAGTCCTGCGCCCATGGTTCTAGGGGCTTAGCGTCTGAGCTTCTGCGCTTGTTGAAGGTTTCCCCTCTGTGTTCATTCTACAGACCCTCACCTTCCCTCACCAAGACGTAGCCAGAACTTTCATCGTAGGGGGACGATGCGGGGGAGAAAACAAAGGGGCAGTGCGCAGGTCCCTCCCAGCATGTGGCACGCTTCAAAGGTCGGGACCTTGATGCATTTGTTCAGGAGCAGGTTGGCCTTTTGGTCTAAGAACTTGGAATTGGAGGTCATTTATCCTTGGCTCTTCAAGGTTGCGATGTGCGGCGGCGATGGCGTGCTTGTTGAAGTGTTGTGCGATTGCCCATCGGTTTTTCAGGGTGGTCACCACCCACGTCAAGCATCATGCATGCACGGAGGTTGGGGAAGCCAGACGAGACGCGCAAACGACTTGAAGCGCAATAATGGCAATATCTCTGCGATTCGACTATGAACGTGTCTTCTTCCTCTATAGGGTCCGGGATCCTGCATGGAAATTCGTGCCATCAGGTTGGCCCGGCAATCAAGCTAAAAGCCTCCGATGGGGCAAAATCCTGACCCTAAACTCCCAAACCCTGAAAACTAGACTCAAATCCCGACGTGCCAACACATCGTGCACGAGAATCACGAGAGAGGTATGCGGTATGTAGGCTGTCCAGGTGGAGTTCGCTGCAGTCTTCGCAGGCGCCCCTCAGATTGGAAGCCCACACGAAGGGTTGAATCTCGCAGTTCGGGCCCTATAGATGCTCCTGCAGAACCCTCATGACGAAGTTGCGGCACAAGCAGTCTAGACAGGTACGGAGAGCGCCTAGAATTAGAGTGAGATGAGCCCACGGCCTCTTCCGGGCAAGGCCCAAATCAAAAAGCTGTTGAGGGAGAGGATCAAACCCAAAGACCGTACGCGCCCTGAAAGCAACCACATGCTTTGCTTCCAAGAGCTGGGATAAGGCTTTTCCGTTGCCACATTGGCAGGCATCGTTGATCATCCTGCGTAGGCAGCTGCAGGCTTATGTTGGGGATAGGTTTTAGCACTTTGTGGTCGATGGGGCCAAGCAAAAGCAGACGTCCGAAGCTTTGGGGAAATTGTCCAAGGATGAAATGGTTGGAGCCACGTGAGCCACTGTGAACCTCATGAGTCCTGCCCAGGTCACACCGACAGCCATCGATGGAGGCAGTGCCTTTGCCGGCGGTGCTGTCTGCCGGGCAGCGACGGCAAGAGCTGTTGAAGGCATCATTGAAGCTGTTGTTGGCGCACTCACTGCAGTCGGTGCCGCTGCCTTCGTATCCTGCAATGCAGCCACATAGGCCTTGTGGCCAAAATAGGTGGGAACTGATTTTCAGTGAGCTCGACGTCACGTCGTGGCAGCTGTAACCGCCAGTGGCATTTGTCGAGGTTGTCTGCGCTGTCATCCGCAAGGCGCCTGTCTCAAAGAGACGTGAGATATCCCGCATGTTTGTGATGGCCGTGCCACTTAGGTCCAGCTGAAGGTTCTTCTTGAGGGCACTCTGTAAAGTACCAGTTGCGAACGTAATCGGTGGGTTGTTGGCCAATGAGATGTACGTCTGCACCCTCAGGGCGTCCGCACCGGTAATCTTGTTACCCGAGAGGTCTAGCGCTTCCAGCGACTTGGACAAGGGAAGTCCGCGGTACTCAGCATAGACTTTGCCATCTACTCTTGCATCCTTAATGCAAGCTATGTCTGGCAAATGCCCAGAGAGGTTGGCACGCTTGGCGTGCAGGCGGGTGAGTTGCCCTGAAGCCGCCAGCGGCACGAGGAGGTCTTCCACAGGACCATTGAGAGGGCAGTCTGACACCTCAGCTCCGTCTAAACCGCAACCTCCAGAGATGGACACACCAGAAGTCACTAGCATTCTGCCAAAGTTGCGTCCAAGGTCATGAGTGCTGGCAGGAGCTTCTGGGACGAGTCCTCGATGAAGAGGTCCTGGAGCTCGTTTCCGCTTGGAAGGAACTCGGCCTGGCTGCCCTGGGCACAAGGCATCTCGGAGCATCTAACTCATGGCCGAGCAGCACATGCGGCAGCAAATTCCCGCATGGAAAGTCTAAGGGCCCGACCGCCAGGTTGAGGGTAGCAAGCTTCCTCAGCCGGCCTCAGGAAAAGACGAAACGAGTAGTTTAAGAAACGCCTGCGGCCAAATTTGAAAGCCTGCGGCTGATAGACAAGCGGCCGCGCCACGAAATGGCAAGGCGCCCGTGAACTTGCGTGGAGCTGAGATCGACCTTCGGCAAAACAGCCCGCTCCGATGAATTTGCGGGGGCGGTGACGCCAAGATAGACCCCGAAATGTGTCTATGACCGGTCTCACGTTATAGGTTTGACTACAGTATCATCTTTGGGAACTTTCTCCAACGCCTTCTCGACATATCAGCTTCTTTTCCCATAGGGCCATAAAGGATGTCCATCCGGTCTTGTCACAGGCTGCTGCAGTACAGTACCTGCTGGTCGGAACATGTTGCCGCGACGATGGCCCTCAGAGTAGCTTCCGGTATAGTAGGCCAAGTTCCTGTTTTCATAACTTTTTCATATCAGCAGCATCGATTCCACCACACGTAGCACTATGGCATTGTGGTACCATGAACACAAAAGCCCCCAAGAAAATGCACACGCGCAGCGTCCTACTGTCCAGGCAAAAGGTGGTGGAATCCCATGCCTGCAAAAAGTACCGGTTCCCCACAACTGAGAGGAAACAAGCGTGCCTCAGTCAGGTTTGGCAGGCCGGTAAGGTGCTCGATCTGGCCCTTCACAGGGGCTCCGTTAAGGTACAGTGTCTGCAGCTGGGTGATGCGAGCCAGCGGCTGGAGGTCGCCAGCAATTTGAGTGCTGGAGAGGCGCAGGTGCCGCAGCTTTGTGAGGGGAGCCAGTGGCTGGAGGTCGCCGGCAATTTGGGCGCTTTCGAGGTGCAGGTCCTTCAGCAAGGTGAGGGGAGCCAGTGGCTGGAGGTCGCCGGCAATTTGGGTGTTTTCGAGGTGCAGGTCCTGCAGCAAGGTGAGGGGAGCCAGTGGCTGGAGGTCGCCGGCAATTTGGGTGTTGGAGAGGCGCAAGCGCCGCAGCTGGGTGAGGGGAGCCAGCGGCTGGAGGTGGCCGGCAATTTGAGTGTTGGAAAGGTACAGATTCCGCAGCTGAGTGAGGGGAGCCAGTGGCTGGAGGTCGCCGGCAATTTGAGTGTTGGAGAGGCTCAGGTGCCGCAGCTTTGTGAGGGGAGCCAGTGGCTGGAGGTCGCCGGCAATTTGGGTTTCGTGGAGGTGCAGGCTTTGCAGCTGAGTGAAGGGAGCCAGTAGCTGGAGGTCGCCGGCAATTTGAGTGTTGGAGAGGCTCAGGTCCCGCAGCTGGGTGAGGGGAGCCAGTGGCTGGAGGTCGCCGGCAATTTGAGTGTTGGAAAGGTACAGATTCCGCAGCTGAGTGAAGGGAGCCAGTAGCTGGAGGTCGCCGGCAATTTGAGTGTTGGAGAGGCTCAGGTCCCGCAGCTGCGTGAGGGGAGCCAGTGGCTGGAGGTCGCCGGCAATTTGAGTGTTGGAAAGGTACAGATTCCGCAGCTGGGTGAGGGGAGCCAGTGGCTGGAGGTCGCCGGCAATTTGAGTGCTGGACAGGCTCAGGTCCCGCAGCTGGGTGAGGGGAGCCAGTGGTCGGAGGTCACCGGCAATTTGAGTGCTGGAGAGGCTCAGGTCCCGCAGCTGGGTGAGGGGAGCCAGTGGCTGGAGGTCGCCCGCCATTTGAGTGCTGGAGAGTTGCAGGTACTGCAGCTTTGTGATGGTAGCCAGTGGCTGGAGGTCGCCGGCAATTTGGGTGTTTTCGAGGTGCAGGTACTGCAGCAAGGTGAGGGGAGCCAGTGGCTGGAGGTCGCCGGCAATTTGAGTGCTGGAGAGGCGCAAGCGCCGCAGCTGGGTGAGGGTAGCCAGTGGCTGGAGGTGGCCGGCAATTTGAGTGTTGGAAAGGTACACATTCCGCAGCTTTGTGAGGGGAGCCAGTGGCTGGAGGTCGCCGGCAATTTGGGTGCTTTCGAGGTGCAGGTCCTGCAGCAAGGTGAGGGGAGCCAGTGGCTGGAGGTGGCCGGCAATTTGAGTGTTGGAAACGTACAGATTCCGCAGCTGAGTGAGGGGAGCCAGTGGCTGGAGGTCGCCGGCAATTTGAGTGTTGGAGAGGCTCAGGTCCCGCAGCTGGGTGAGGGGAGCCAGTGGCTGGAGGTCGCCGCCAATTTGGGTGTTGGAGAGGTCGAGGCTTTGCAACTGGGTGAGAGGAGCCAGTGGCTCTAGACTGCCGGCAATTTGGGTGTTGCCGAGGTCCAGGTGCATCAGCTGCGTCAGGTGTTGCAAGGCGCTGGTGTTTCCGTGGACTTTGGTCTTTGAAAGGCGCAGTGACCGGAGCTCTCTCGGAAGGACTCCGACACGGCCCGAAAGCGGCCGCCCTGACAAGACGATCTTCACCACGCACTCCTGGGTTCAACCCTGCTGCTTCTGCACAGAAAAAAGCAAGCTAGAGGCTGTCTCACAACAAGATCCCAGGGTCGCTTTCATCGCAGCCGGCTCCGGGCCAGGAGCATGGATCACCCGTGAGCTCTTCAGCCGGGACCCCGAGCTCCAGGAAGGCAGACCTTAAGGCCTCCGGCCCGGTACCTTGCATCTAAAAGTGCTCCAACCATCATTTGAAGGACCAAGGAGTTTTTTGCAGCAATCCCAACACAAAATCGCGGCATGACGATCCAAGAGGTGCCAGGCCACACTCAGACCTGGCAGGGCCGAGCCTCGTGGCGCTGCCGGCTGCGACCTGCACTCACTCCATCCTAGGAGTCACGGGAATGGATCTGCGATTACGAACTTCGACCCACATCATGACAGAATGGGGAGCTGGGAGGGTGCGTGTAAGGGGAATGTCTCCACGCACAAGGAGCAGAAGGAGCTCAGTGGAGCTTTGCTTGGTCCTCACTTCAACACGATCCGAGATGCTTGCAACCCACGGTTCTGCAAGCCTTTGGGTTCAGCAACGAAGTTTGGGCGGCGTCCCTAAACCCCCAAGTCCCAAAACGTTGGCTCAAACCCTCCGTGCAAAACGTCTCTAAGCCCTGCACTCTTTAACACCCTGAAGGAGGCCAGCAGCTCGCGTCGTGCGGGGTGTGTAGCAGCAGCTTGAAAACTCAGAAGGATGCTTACTTCTGGCTGTCTTCCAGGACCAAGGCTTACACACCCGGTAACAAAGTCGCAGACCGGCTCGGGCCTCCTCGATGTGCGTGCGGCTTCCAGGCTTGGTGTCGGCCGTATGGACCTCACACAAGTGCTTTTCAGAAGACCTCCTTTAAACCTCACCTTCCAGCGCTAGTTATAGGCTGATCAGGTGCTGCCGGGCATCGCCATGGTGCTCTTCTGCATCAGTCCCCAGAAACACCTGCAGATGCCGCTCGCTGCGCTCCGCGGCAAGCAGGGTTGCCAGAACGCAGAAGGCCAAGACCGTCAAGGCCCCCATTGGTGGCTAACAGCTAACATAGATACAGCATTGCTCCGCTTGCATGCAAAAGCCGCTGACTAATCTGCAGGATGAAGCAAAAAAATACCGACCTTCTACATGCTTTCCTCATGTTTGCCCTGATGGAGCTGTGTAAGGCACAGACAACAGCATCCTGAGAGCTCCGCAGTCCGGAGCTGGCAGAGCCCAAAAGTGATGCCGGAACGCATGGCTTCTCAGTCTAAAGCACATGGGATCGTTGCAAAGGATTTCTAAGGTACATAAACGGTGCTTCCTAGCCATTTCGACATATACATGGAGTAAGAGGCAGCGGGCATGCCGCCAAAACTCGCTTGTATGCTTATATCATGTGCTGAGCGCAACCCCCCAAAAAGCAAACAAATGCCCTGCCTTTCTCACAAGTTATAACCCCACCCACCTAATAACAAAAGTCCTCGCCCCACCGATTCAAACAATCCCAGTATGGTATTTTCCCACGATGGGCAACAGAAATGAACAACTCAATTTAGCATACTCTCCACCAGCAGTACAGCAACAACAGGGAAGCTCCGGTTTGCTTTCTTTCGCCGCAAGCTGCAACCATTCGAGTGCGATGCCCTCGGTGAGAAGACGAAAGATCCTCCTGGCCAACACATCTGGGCTCTTGCTTCTCACTTGGCTTTGGCTCCATGGTTGCCGTTGTTCACTACCCATAGGGCTCCATAGGAGTTCCTTTTGAAGGTTCATAATTTAGGATCCTATAAAGTGATCCCCAAAAAGGAACTGCTTTGGAGCCTATATGGGTAAAGCCCTCAACGGTACGGCACTCGAGACTTGCCAGATGGCTACACACGGCTTAGCGCTTAGGAATTCTCAGACACCTGAGGTGTCGTGCGCCTGGGACTATGATGATGATAACCCGGGACACCGAATCCCAAACCTTCGACCGGCCTGTTAAGTCCGAGGTTACAGGATACCCACCAGACCACGATCATGAGCTACAAAGTCTTGAGCTCAAACCAAACCGACACGACAGGAGCATGAACTCGACCTCAAGCTCATAAAATCATTGACGCTGGCACGAGCAGCTCACGGATTCCAGAGCCTCAAATAACCAGCTGGCCATTGGCCCCTGAGCTTTCTGGCTATATAAAAGCAGGCCGGAACTGTGAAGATCTCTCTCTCGATGTGCATGGGCTCTCAAAACAGCCCCACATATCCCCAAGATCGCGGCATCCTTAACTAGAAGGACCACATGAGCTCCATAGTCTTGATACAGCACGATGCACCATCACACCCAGACAAGTACTCGGATCACAAACTTGCAGGCAAAGCCAAAAAATCAGGGCGTCAGCAATCCTCCAAGCTCAGGCCCAAGCCCAATAAACCCTAAACCCTAAACCGCAAACCCTAAAGCCTATAGAGGTTGAAACATCCTGGGCCTCAAAACCTCATCCCTCGACACGCCTTTCAGCTCCAAGAGCTCCACGGCGTCGCCCCGCTCCAAAGCAGGCCACTCCTGCGCCACCTCCTGCAGCAGCATGTAGA